AAATCCTCGCATGACGATAACATCGCAGACATGCTTTTTTCAGGCTTTAATAACTGTAAATGGATATTCCCATAATGATTTGTGAGCGCAAGATGTAAAGAAGGATAATTTTTACTTTCACATTTTTTATTATTTAATTTTTGCTGAGAAAATAAGAAGAAACTTAAGCATAGAAAATTAATGCAACTTATAGCACTTAATAGAATTTTAAATCGACATAGTTAACTAACAAGACCATTAATGAATAATTTTTTATACAGATTTTACAGGTAATTTTTCATAAAAATTATAATCTATTAATTGCATTTTTTTCTATGCTTAAGTTTCCTTCTTATTTTTTCAGCAAAAATTTATTAGTTAATAAAAAATGTGAAAGTAAAAATTATCCTTCCTTACATCACTTGCGCTCACAAATCATTATGGGAATATCCATTTACTGTTATTAAAGCCTGAAAAAAGCATGTCTGCGATGTTATCGTCATGCAATGATTTGTCATGCAATGATTTTACCACGATATTTTCGACGGCGATGTTTTTAAACTGCGAAGTTTTTGAACCGCTTTATTTTCGACGACGATATTTTGTACCACGATGTTTTAGAACTGCGATTTTTGCGATGTTTTCTCCCACGATGTTTTGTAGCACGACGTTTTCGCCTTTCGTTGTTTTCTCCGCGACGTTTTCGTCCGCGATGTTTTTGCCGCGATGTTTTCGGCTGTAACCCCTTTATGTACCAATTATTTCACTCATTTTGCACACACGTCAACTATTATATTTCAAAAACCACCAGAATAGGTACAAGAAGAAAAAAAACAATTTATTGGATTATTAAATCATCCATTCCTGAATTGCATGTAACATCGGTAGCTTTCATAATTCATTTATTTCCTTTTACTGCTAGCGATAAGTATTCGAGAGAAAGATTTTTAACTTGTTTTCACTGATACTACAAGTAAATGAAAATAAATAAGAGAAACTTCATCCTGCAGTGTTTCGTTACATAATTATTAACAATATATGACGCGTTACTTTGATAGATTTTTTTTAATTCAGATACATAAACGAATGTGATCACTATTTAAAAATAACGACAATTGTGATACTGAAATCTTGTAATAAAATTTTGTTGTTAATAGTTAATACTAATTCCTAATGGTTTCATAACACTAGCCGAGAATTACTGACTCACGTAAGAAAAAAGATAAATTAATGTTAATCAAAGGGAATGTTTCAAATTGCAAAAATCTAAAGATATAGTAGCAACAGAAAAAGATAAATTAATATTAATCAAAGGGAATGTTTCAAATTGTAATAATACAAAGATATAGTAGCAACGGAACTATTCTACCTACCTCAGTTCCTTTAGAAAACATCTTTATTAACCACAATTAACAGAGACGAAGGTTTGTTTCATACATTCACATTAAAATTGCTTAATAGGCCCCCAAATAAACAAAACGTACTCCAAAGATCTAAACTCTGTGCAATAAGAGGAATCAAAATATACAACTAACTAAATATAATAGGAGCATTACAGAGATCCTATCTCTGGCTAATAACAATGCATTTCTTGGTCTAAAAGGGTTTCTAATCTTATCAGTGGCACCGGCACCCTGCTTCTTATCAGTGGCGCGTTTCCCTCTATTTCAGATAACTCGATTCCTTTATAAAAGAGTGTATCACGTGATAAGCACGCTGTTATATCTACCAAGGTGAAAGTAAAATCACTGGGAAATATAAAATATGACGAAATAGCCATTACATAACCCAACTAAGAACGTTTACGTAAAAAAGACGCATTACATAGTTTCCATAAGAGGATGCAAATATAGATGAAGGTAAGTTTAGTGTTAAATGAATGACTTGCTATTCCCCATTTCAACATCTCATAACTTTTATCTACATTCGTAGCTAGTTTACTGTTTATATAAATAGATATGGCTATTATTATCAGACAAACAATCTATCCGTGTCCAATTTCGACTTAACTCTTTCTATTTACTTTCACATCTGTTCCATATTAAAACATGTGCATCAGATAATTCCAAGAATTTCGATCACCGAGGAGCAAGTGCTCCTTCGAGGAGAATTTGGAAATTTTACGGAGCAAAACGAGCATTTACATTAATTTTTTGTAAAGTTTTGTGGATCAGTCAGTACGGAGCAAAACGAGCATTTAAATTAATTTTTTTAAAGTTTTATGGATCAATCAGTACGGAGCAAAACGAGGATTTAAATTAATTTTTTTTAAGTTTTTGGATTCATACGGAGCAAAAATTAATTTTTTTTAAGTTTTGTCGGAGCAAACGGCATTTAAATCTTTTTTGAAGTTTTTGGATCATCAGTACGGAGCAAAACGAGCATTTTAAAATTAATTTTTTAAAGTTTTTGGATCATCAGTACGGAGCAAAACGATTTAAATTAATTTTTTTAAGCATTTAAATTAATTTTTTTTTTTTTTAAGTTTTGTGGATCAAACAGTACGGAGCAAAATGAGCATTTAAATTAATTTTTTTGTAACGTTTTGTGGATCAGTCAGTACGGAGCAAAACGAGCATTTAAATTAATTTTTTTTTAAAGTTTTGTGGATCAATTAGAAATGAAAACACTATTTATGAAGAATGCAACTTATTTGAATCAAGATTATTTAGAAAATTAATTTTGTTCTGAAAAATTATGATAGTTAGAACTATTACTTTTTTCTGTTATTCTATATTTTCTGTGACAAATCTATTGAAACAGAAAATAAAATAAAATGTACGAATTAATAACTCCGTTTTACTACATAACTGATCTTAATAATATTTTAAATTGTTTAAACTTTCTTCATCAATTCAAAATAAAATTTTACATTGAGAAATTTCGTTAATTACATCGCTTAATATTTTTCCAATGCTCAGCTCTCAATTATTTGTTTTTCTAACATTGGGCTCCATTTTAAATAAGTACACACTGAGTTCAAAAGTTAAAATCCTACACGCAACACTGTTATTATTTTTAGAATAAACTGAATCACATTTCTGTGAAAACAAATGACCTTCAGGGAATATGAATAACACGTATTTCCTGTGTGCAAGGAACTGAATCGAGAAGTATTCAACATAATAGTTAAATTATTTCTCGGTGATCTTAATTGGGATTTAATTATATTATTAGTTAAAATATCCCTTCTTATGCTAGAATATGAAAGGGAAAAAGCAATAATTCTGCTGAAAACTAGACAATAGAAGCTTCTGGAATTCATACACGCTAATATTCTGTATAATGTGACATTGAAAGAAAATATGCAATACAGATTTGGCCCCCTTAATATTATTTTTCATTTAAGAAACCTATACTCTTAATTTATAAGGTATTTCTTCAGCCTTCTTAGCATGCCTTCGTGGTGTGGTGTTCTGCGGTTCGATTCCCGGCGAAGGCATTGTTCATTTTTCATCTTTTCCTGCTTCCAAAAAAATAGCTAATGTCTCTGCAAATGAATCATCTGTTTTTAATTGTTTTATTCTTAGAGCTTGTCATCCATTTGCATTAAATACTATATAAAATTAATTAAAAACTCCGAAAACGCTAACTTGCGCACTCATTTTTACCGAATGGCAACAGTCTCGCACGTTGGAGATAAAAATGCTTTATTTTATTAATCAAAAGGGGCTTTGTCCCTGAAGGACTATTGTTTTCGTTTTGCGATTTTTCGTTGAATCACTATAAATGTTCGTTTCACTTTTCAAACTGTTGCCACCCAATGTTAGAGTCCTGCATTATATTTAAAGAAATTAAATAATGAAAAATCTGCATAAATGTATGCATGTTTCTCGCAATTGGATAAAACAACGGTACAATGAGCCATCGAATTTTGAATGACGTAATCTTCTTACAAATATGGGCATGTGGAAGACCAAATTTGAAATTTGGAACTTGCTTTATTATCGTTCATATTTTGTAAAACTTTTAACGAATTTTTGAGTAACAAACTCAAAGATTTAAAAGCGAGCAATGGCAACACTACCGAGGGGGGGGTACCTTTTTATCTCCAGCGCGGAGCTGTGTATCGGAAATTCTACAGATAGGCTCATTTTAAAATTATTTTGCAGCATTGCTTTTGAACTGAATTTTATGGTTTAAACGCAAAGTATATGATATTTAATAAAGATAACACACAAAACATTAAAAAAACACCCCTTTGGACGTAATTTAAAATCTGAAACCTTTCAGATTTTTTTTTTTTATTTATTTATTTGTGGTTCCTTTCCCCCTCCCTTTTAACGTAAAATTGTAGATAAAGCTTTGAAAATTACATACGTAGATAACTGTCTATTGCCAAATATATCTGTACTACTGTAATAAATCTACAGCAGTAATAAAAGTGTGGGTTTCAAGATTTAAAGCATTAAGAATTTATAAACATTACCATTGTATGTAATATTAAAACATGGATTTACCACACAAATTTTAAGTTATTACTAATATTTCTGCATTTTAGTCATGTAGTTCTAAATGAATATTAGTGAGTAAATAACGGCAATAAATAATGCAATAATATACATAAAATTATGGAATCACTGCTATACTTTTTATCCCCCCCCCCAAAAAAAAAGGAAAAGAAAAGAACAGGAAAAGCTGCAATTAAGAAAGAAATCATTTATTTAAAATATTATTTTGTACAAACTTACGTATAGAAACTAACCATCGTATTAAAAATACGATTTCATTGCAGTGATGAACGTCAAGTTGTAGTTTAATCTTAGTTTTAGAATTATGAAAAAGAATAATTACTAATTGCCCAATTTACTTAAAACCTGTTACAATTAAAAGCTTAAAAAAATTATAATTTGCTAAGGATTTCTTCGTTTTTCTTTCAACCTCATTTTAGTTATATTTTATCCGTGTTAAAAAAATATAGAGTACAATATTAATATACAGATAATTACCATAAAAATGAAAACTTAGTAAATATATAATTCAAAACTTTCATTTGTGGGCAAATTGATATAGATTTATACCTGAGATGCGAAGGCTAATGTTAGCATCGGTGGGTAGGGCTGCCGTTCTCATCAGCTTTAACCAATGGCCTTCATTTTCAAGCATCACGTGGACTGGAGAACCACCGTCGGAACGGTTCACCTGAAAAAGTACATTGTTTCAAATATAGATGGCAGCACCAGGCTAAGGTAAAAATTTTGTAAAAACGTACGTTTAACTCGTACAAAAAAGAAATGTATTACTCCTAATTATATTTCATCAAAAACCTAACTTCTAATCAGTATCTTCTTCGTTATTTACATCTTTTCTATTAATGATTCATTACAGAAATTTAAATCGTAATAATAATGTAACTTAAAATTGAAAAATAACGAAACAAGAGTTATCAAAGTGTGATCAGTCAATAGCTTAAATAAAGAGATAACCATGTTACAACATACAAGATAGAAAAAGAGATACACTTCGTACTTAGAACTAGTGTATCTTTTTCTCCGTAAATATGATGCAAATAGCCCAACTGGAAAATTATTCACGTAACATGTGTGAGATAGTGTGGTTACGTAAATATTTCCAAATGTAGAATAGGGTGTAAAAGAACATTTAGGGAATCAGAAAGCTGCTTTTGTCTTTTTTCCCCTGTTTTTTCCTTTGATAAATGGCATTTGCATTCTGGAATTTCTCCCATATGTTCTGTAAGTACGAGTTATTGCCAATATCACTGTTGGACTGGATACGTTGGTCTGCCAAAATAATTTTTTCTTAAAAAAGAAAACAATAATATACTTATTATATTAACGGTACATCTAACAATGTTTCCAGATGGTAACGTTTTTAAAAATGCACTTAATAATTTTTCAGATTTTGTGTAACAAAATTAATTAAATTGATTAAATTAAAAATAATTAAATTTATTATTTAAATGCAACTATTTCTTAACAAAATATTATTTTGTAGTTTTTTTTTTTTTTTTTCCTAAAGAGGCTTTGTTCCTGATTGCCTGATTGGTTCGTTTTGCGATTTTTGGTTAAATCACTATAAGCGGCGAATCACTTTTCAAACTGTTGCCACCAAATGTTAAAAGTCCTACAGTATATTTGAAGAAATTAAATAATGAAAAATCTGCATAAATGTATGTATATTTCTCGCATTGTGATAAAACAACAGTACATTGTGATAAAACGAGCCATCGAATTTTGAATGACATAATCCTCCTACGAATATAGGCATGTTGAAGACCAAACTTGAAATTTGGAATTTGTCTTATTATCGATTTCGTATTTTGTAAAATTTTACCGAATTTTTGAGTAACAAACTCAACGATTTAAAAGCGAGCAATGGCAACACTCTACGGGAAAAAAAATCTTTTCATCTCCAGCGCGCGGAACTGTGTATCGGAAATTCTAAAGATATGCTAATTTAAAATTATTTTGCGATATTGCTGTTGAACTCAATTTTATGGTTTAAGACCAAAGAACATGATATTTAATATAAATTAAATAAAATAAATAATATAAATTGTGTGTTACCTTTATTAATAAATAAATAAAATTTATTTAATAAATAAAGGTAACACACAAAACGTTAAAAAAAAGCCCATTTGGACGTAATTTAAAATCTAAAAACTTTCAGATTGTTTGTTTGTTTGTTTATGGAGCCGGAAATTATGATAAATCAGGTATGTCCACATCGGTTTCCAGCCATGAATCTCTAATGCTACATGGACATGCTTCACTTATACCACTAAAATATGCAGAAATGTGGGAATAAGGAATTAGGGGATAACTCACCCTAATTCCTTATATTCCCCCATCACTCCTCAGCTTATACTGTAGATGAGAAATGGAATGAGATCCAGATGAGTGATGACTAATTATCGTTCAACACAAGCGCCACTCTAGAGATATTTAGAAATTTCAGGTTTGTTTTGGTTCGTTTAATTACGACAAAGCACTCGAGTGCTTGTGTGCGTAAGAGAAAGGATGGCTTTCTAAGGGTCTTTCTTTAGAGACTTTTTTAAGGGAAATGTGTCGTATACACGTTCAATGTGGGGAAAACCACAAAAACACCCTTCACCATGATTAGAACCCCAGAACTAACTACCAGTGTTCAGCGACTTTGCCGCTCGTTGGTGGGCCTAAAAATTTTGCGAGTAAGTAAGCATAAAAAACTCAGCTATACTTTCTAAGGTACTCGAGTGACAGATCGTCCAGTACTACCTGGATGGGCTGGCACTTGCCCTGCAAGAACATGCACTACAGAAGGCAATGATTACTTATAACATTACTGTATTTGACTGATTATATATACTTTTGGGCATTTCTGATATTTTTTAAAACTTCTTGGACTGAAGACCACAGAAAAACTTAAATAAATTGAAAATAAAAAGATGCCTTATTTAAATTATTTAATGAAACTATGCAGCTTAGATTTATTATGCTCAGTACAAATGTTTAATTAAATTAGTAAAATTAATGGAAGAATGCGTATGAACTTGTTAGAAGAAGTCAACAAAAGAGAATGCGTTGGGAAGATTATGTACGTTATTTATTTTCCATTATAGTTATATTCTCCTCTAACTAGACGACAATGGAAATAGGTTAGGTTGTAGAGACATTAGGTATTTTGGAAGCATGAGACATCAAAAATGAGCAACGCCCTCTCCGGGAACCGAACCACGGACCTCTCGAATACGTGCCGAGTGTGCTGACCACTATAACTATATGCTAAGAAGGCGCGCCTTATAAGGTTAGGTTACTATATGTGTAATATTTATCAGAATTACTAGCAGTAGCACTGAATTAGTATTGTAATGTATAATAATTGTATAATTGGAAATGTAATTAGTATTGTAATGTATAATAATTGTATAATTGGTAATGTAATTAGTATTGTAATGTATAATAATTGTATGTTTGGTAATGTTTCTATTATTCATCGTAACATGCACTGTAAAGTTTATGTGTGTACTGCATAATTAGTATTATAATGTATTGAAATTGCATAATTAGTACTCTAATGTATAATTGGTAATGTATGAATTGTATAAATCAGTATCGTAATATATAGTGCATGCTGCAAAATTAGTTTTTAAATGTATTATAATTGAATCATTAGTATCGTAACGTATTGTAAAAGTAGCATGTTAAAAAAGCCCTGTATGGCCATGTACTTATATTTTTCTCAGATATCAACAAACACTGGGACCCGGGCAGTTGGACGGCAGCGAACCCCGTTGGCGGCTCTGGATAATGGCGGACGTGGTGCTTTACTGATTAACCATTAAGGTAAAGGGACAGTGCCCACGTCCTCCGTCACTTATCACTTATAAGGTTAGGTTGCCAAAATATGGTAAAGCACACGACGGCTAAGGGGAAGGATGTCTTTCGTGGAGGATTTTGTAAGGAAACTAGTTCGCACTTCGTTACACATGAGGAAAACCATGTGAGTTGAAATACCAGTATTCAGCGGTCTTAACCACTCGGACACTTGTAGAGATTTAGCAGTGGAATAAAAAACATTTAAAAAAAATTAGTAACCTATCGCTCAAATCAAATGACAATCTGTTAAATATTTTCAAATATGTCAGATATGCAAGTTATGTGAAAACTAAAAGCGGATGCAATTTTGTCTAGAGAAAGAACAGAACCCACTCCCGGGAAGGGGGAGAAAAAAAAAAAAAAAAAAAAAAAAAAACTAGTTCGTAATGCTTTTAAAGTGAGAGTAAAGGTCTTATATGACTTAAAAGTTGTTGTCTTTTATATTATGATCAGCCCACCAGCGGCCGAGCGGTAAAGTCGCTGAACACTGGTAATTCGGTCCGAGGTTCGAATCTCGCGAACGGGCTGGCTGCATAGGCGTTTTCGTGGTTTTCCTCATGTGTAACGTGTATACGAGCCAATTTCCCTTAGAAAGTCCTCCACGAAGGCATCCCTCCCTTTAGGCAGATAGCCCTAGTGTGCTTTGCCATAATTAAATACACCCCACCACATATTATGATCAATGATATAAAGTTAAATAACTCATATAGTTGTTTAAATTTGTCAAGCAATGATAGGCATAAAAATTAAAAAAATTAAAAAAAAAAAAAAAAGCTTCAGATTTTAAATTATGTCCAAAGGGGCGTTTTTTAACGTTTTGTGTGTTACCTTTATTTATTAAATATCATGTTCTTTGCACTTAAACCATAAAATTCAGTTCAACAGCAATGTCGCAAAATAATTTTAAAATGAGCCTATTTTTAGAATTTCCTACACAAAGTCCGCGCGCTGGAAATAAAAAGGTTCCCGCCCCCCCCCGTAAAGGGTTGCCATTGTTCGCTTTTAAATCGTTGAGTTTGTTAATCAAAAATTCTTCAAAATTTTACAAAATATGAAATCGATCATAAACAAATTCCGACTTTTAAATTTAGACTTTCAGACGCACATATGTGCAGTAGGATTACGTCATTTCAAACTGGTTGTCTCTATGTACCGTTGTCTTATCACAATGCGAGAAACATACATACATTTATGCAGATTCTTCATTACTTAATTTCTTTAAATATAATGCTGGGTTTTCTAACATTTGGTGACAACAATTTGAAATCTGATACTCCGTTTAAAGTGATTCGATGCAAAATGCCGAAACGAAAACAATATTCCTTCAGGAACTAAAAAGAGAGAGAGAAACTCTTTTAATTAATGACAGAGTAAATACTTTATATTTCCCGATTCGATATGAACTTTCGATGATGCGGAACAAAATTCCTGATAAGGAAAAAGGTTTGAAATATTATCTTTATTGTCGGAAAGATAAAGAATAAGTCTTGCAGAAGATATCTCTCATACAGAATCGGTTTTTCTAAACTCTCATGAATTCTTAGCAGATGTTAATTCTAATACAGAATTCATGTATTCGATGATTTAAATATACTAATGATTATCTTATATTCGATTATATAAGATTATTCGACTGATTTCTGTTCGCGTTTCCGCCAAACAATTATCCGCAAAAAAGGAATATGAAAAATTCTTGGTCAAAATAAACGGATTTACGCAATACAGTAACAATAATTGAACATTCAAAACAGCCATCGTGTCTACAGTATTTACTTGGACCTTATTTCCGCAATCATGGCCCATAGACGTATACTTCAACTGAGCTTTAAATGACAATTAATACTTTAAATGACACAAATATCCCCATTTTGGCATTTTACATTAAACTTCATTATTAGCCCAAAAAGGGCGTTAGTCTAAATGCGCTATTAGTCTGGAATCGGCCTTTTGCGCTGAATCACTACAAACGGCGTATCACTCTTCAAATTGTTGCCACCAAATATCATCGGCCTGTATTATATTTAAAGAAATTAAAAAATGAAGAATCAGCGCCAACGTATGTATGTTTCTCGCAAAGTGAAAAAAAACCAACGTTACCTAAAGCCATCAAATTTTGAATAACGAACTCTTCCATCCGAACATGCGCCTCTGGAAGCAATGAATTTTTAATTTCGAATTTGTTTTATTATCTTTTTCATATTTATAAGGTATGGCTCACCATCGGCCGAGCGGTAAAGACGATGAACACTGGTAGTTCGGTCCGAGGTTCGAATCCCGCGAACGGGCTGGCTGCATGGGCGTTTTCGTGGTTTTCCCCATGTGTAACGTGTATACGAGCCAATTTCCCTTAGAAAGTCCTCCACGAAGGCATCCCTCCCTTTAGGCAGATAGCCCTCGTGTGCTTTGCCATTATTGAATAACCCATAACCCCATATTTATAAGGTATTTCTCCCACCTTCTTAGCATGCCTTCGTAGTGTAGTGGTCAGCATGCTCGGAGCGTATTCCAGAGGTCTGTGGTTAGATTCCCGGCGAAGACGTTGCTCATTTTTCCTGTACGCGGGCGTGCCTTTATAGGAAAGAAATAAGCACCATATTCCATATGAAGCACAAAATAGGTCACTCACAAGTAGGGTAAGGGGCTCCTATCTGTTTACTTCAGATAAATAATATATGACCTCTACATTTCTAAGTAATATAAGGTCACATTACCTGGTAAGTAAACACATATCTTTAACAATTTGATTTTGGCAACAATTTTCCTTATTATTGTTGATAGATTTTGATGAAATCGCATTATTTTGAATAGTTTCATTCTTTTAGAAATATGGGTTTGGCAACAATTTTTCATCGTATTTCTTATGTCACTGTTTTTAAGAGATTGGCATATTTCATTTTATTATTATTATTATTATTATTATTTTTTTTTTTTTTGTAGACGGTTGCACGGATTTTGCCGATTTTTCGTATGGTAAACCCATTGCTGGATAAGTTATTTATGGTAACCGATACTTTGTTGTCATTTTATTTAAAAAATAATGCGTTTTATTATGCATAAATTGCGTGTTTTAAATATTATTTATGGCTTCTAAATATTAAAAAGCAATTTAATTTTGCATTTTTATTTGAAATAAAAATTTTGTTGTTTATAATATTTTATATAATTTTATGTTGTGGATGATGTAATCAATGACGTCACCTTACTGAAAAAGTAATTGGTTTTATTAATATCTATAAATTTAATCTAATGTTTTAAACATTATTTATGGCTGTTAAATATTAAAATACAATTTAATTTTGCATTTGTTTTAAAAATGATTTTATTATGAATGATTATTTAAATAATTTTAATTCTATGCGTGATGTAATCAGCTCCCTGATTGGTTTCTGAATATTTGTGCACTACCACGCCATTTTAAAATTTTATTATTTTTGAGTGATTTTTTTAGGAAACAAAGTTCTTAACCTCCTTTATACCAATTTAGTTCTTAAGAATTTGCAAAGGGAAGTTGGTTAATTTATTTATTGGGATAATTAATATTTGTATTAAGGGATATTGCTTATTTCATTGTAATTTTGTCATACATAATAACTTTTTTTATGAAGTTGTTCTGCAGAGTAAAATTCTACGCAGTTTTTAAATTTAACGTTCGGTGTTCCCTTCAGCCATTTTTCCGGTGCATTTAAAAGCCAGACGAAGGCTGGCAGCGAAGCTGCTAGTAATAAATATCTAGCATTCAGTTGGTAAAGTATCAACAATGTAATGTATCATAGCATAAAATTCACGCAAACTAATTATTGTAAAAACACACGTAATTGCATACAATGAACTGACAAAAATAAGTTGGCAATGTACAGCAAATGTATGCAGATATATCTAAAAGTTACGTAGTGCGCATAAGTATGCAGATGAAGCTATTTTTTTCTTTTGTTTTCAGACTTATTTATTTATGTCTTTTTATTATTTTATATTTTCCATTTTTGACAGCTGTTTGTAAAAAAAATTATGTAAACAAGTCATGATTGTAGGCATGATCATGCACTCGAAATAAGCTGCTTCTAGCCAGCTCAATTCGTAATGTTATGATCAATTTTTACATGCAAATAACAATGTACTGCTAGACAATAATGTAATTTCTGAAAATCAATTAACACAAAAACATACATTACAGCACATAATGAATCGTCGAAATTGAGCTGTTAATGTTTCAGCACAACTTTACAAGGGTATACTTAAATGTAAGCTTTGTAAACAATTTTATAGTTCTTAATTAATTCTGACAGTAAACAGATCATGTTTACAAAAATGATTTGTAACGTGGGAACATCCCGCCTGTTTCTAATGCAATATAAAATGTCCTGAAACATGTTGCCTGTACCCACTACAATGGATAACATCTTCAAAATATGCCCCTGCACAACTATGTATTTTGCAATGTATATATATCATGTAATTCAATCCCTTTTCGCGAAAGTTGAGCTAATTTAACGCTGAAAGGTAGGAGTACCGTTGATGCCGCCGCCGGTGGCAGTACCTGTAGTGCTCATTGGAGTCACATTTTCCATCACGATTCGAGGAAATGATGCCAGAATGTTGTTAGTTTTCTAGTTAGTGTGTGGGGCTAATACCTGCTTACTTAGGGTAAATACTAGGTGGCCTCCTCACTTCTACATAACATAACATAACATAACTTCTCCAGCTTCGAAATAGCTTAATGTCTTTACAGTGGCTCCCGAACTAAAAGGGTGGTGAATGATGATTCTCCACATCCAAGATTTGGCGATTGGGTCCCCTGAAAACCCCAGTCGCCCTTTAAAAGTGGAAGTATCTAAGGGATTTTTCTCACCTTCTTAGCATGCCTTTGTAGTGTAGTGGTCAGCGCGCTGGGCGCGTATTCCATTGGTTCGATTCCCGGCGAGAGCGTAGCTCATTTTTCATCTTTCCTGTTTCGCAAATACTTAATGTCTCTACAATGAATATTTGATCAATTCAAAGGTTTCCAAGCGAGCAGTGGCACCACTGCACCGAAAAAAACATTTCTTTCTACAGCGCGCGAGACTGTCTATCGGATATTCTAAAAATATGCTGTTTTTAAGTATTTTGTGATTTCGCCGTTGAATCGAATTTTATGTATAAGCGCCAAGAACATAATATTTAATAAATAAAATAACGTATACGAACATAATATTTAATAAACAAAACGTCAGTAATAAAAACATAAAAAGAGGTTTTGTACAGCCATCTTAGTAAGGAAACTGAACATTAATATGATAAACTGGGAAAAGACTGAAAAAAAACGGGGGGGGGGGAAATGTTTGCCAACATGTAACGCTGTGTCGGAAATTCTAGACGTATATTTCTACGCTGCTTTTAAAATTTTTGTAATTTTGCTGTTCAATTGTATGTGGCGTAAGTGCGAAGAAAAGGTTAAAGTCTGAAAAAAAATTTTAAGTCAGATTTCTTTTTAGTATTCATTGCAAAAATGGATTAAAAGTTAATCTATACCTCATCTTAAAATAAAGATTAAAAATTTAATTTGAATAATAAGTATGTATTAAAAATTGTCAACAAATCTAACAAGAAGTGTAATATACGAAATACGTTCCATGTCAACGTACCTTAAAGGTTTTATCGTCTTCAGTATCACTTTCTTGTACTCCTCCTTTGTAGGTACCCAGCACGGTACCAGCTTTGAGGGGTTCCTTTGTCAGTATCAAAGATTCACCCCCAAATTTCTTCAGGTACAACTGGGCAATAGGAAACTTGAGATCAGGAGCTATTTGGTCAAAATCAGTTGACTCTCCTGAAAAAGTAAAGATATTTCATTTGAAAACATCCACTTCTACAGATAATAAACAACTTATGTTTGTTTCAATTATTAACATAGGTTAAATAAAAAGTTGGAACAAAATTACCGTATGTCTTCTAAAAATCTTCGGATCCACGGACCGGTAAAACTTACGAAAAGATTTCGCTGATCCCCCCCCCCAAAAAAAAACTTTACAAGGTATTCAAGAATTACTACGTAAGTTAATGGTAATATTCTTATTCCCATTTGCCTACAATCATATTTAAATATAAAGATAAGTAAATATTGTAATTATTACATATCAGTATAACTATCATATATACGAGGGCAATCCCAAAAAAAGGTCTCCTATTTTTGGGGGACGTAGAGAAAGTTTTAATACGGTTGTTGGCAACACTGTTGTGAGTGGTGCCTTTTCCGCTACCACATAAGCACGTAGGCGCTTCGCTCGGATGCTCAGTCTTGGCTTGGCAGCCATTCGAAATGGAGCTCCCGATAAACGTTACCGCCAGGTGCGAAGTGCGCGCAGTTATTCGATTTTGAACGCAAAAGGCGTTAAACCGGTTGAAATTCACCGCCTATTGACGGAAGTGTATGGACAGTCGTGCATGGATGTCAAAAACGTTCGCAAGTGGTGTAGAGAGTTTACAGCTGGTCGTACTGAAATTCATGACGAAGAAGGGAGCGGGAGGCCGTCAATTGCCGACGAGACAATCGCGAAAGTTGAGGATTGTTGAGTTCGTATTCGTTGGGTTTCGCGATTATTGAGTTCGTAAAATGCGTAAAAATCGGAGGATCATCTGGATGCTCCTGAAGCTCCTCAACGCTTCCTGAAGGGCATGGCGGCAAGCTGGTATGACATGGACATTGTAAAACTGCAACAGCGTCTACAAAAATGCATCGACCGAAATGGCGATTATGTTGAAAAATAAAGCATTCTTCATTCTTTAAAGTGATGTAGCAATTATAGAAAATAAACGGTTCTTTGTATATCTAAAAATATAGGAGACCTTTTTTGGGGGGATTGCCCTCGTAAGTTAATAAATCTTTGAGAGATATCACACAATATTACAAAAAAAAAAAAAAAAAAAAAAAAAAAAAAAAAAAAAAATCACCAAAACTCTTGCATATAGAAACGGATCAATGACGGCCCCTGGACAAGCGAATGGGGATCTCTCATTTACCGTACCTGAAGCGCCACCTGTCAACCTTTTCTAGTCCTCAAGTGGCAACAAATGAAATAATCAGAATTCATAATAACGCTTTCGTTGGAAAGAACATCTCTACAAAGAAAACATTCAGGTTTTGGACAATTTGCTTCAGATTGTGGTCAAAGGACAAAAGCATAGTTCAGTTGCTTTTACCAAGAATAATTTACTTGGCGAACTTCTTAATTTATAGCAAACTATTTTCGTTTTCTTTTTTATCACTTTAGACGAGCGAGAAAAAGGTTATCTTTCATACATTCAAATAATTTTAACTAAGTGCGTAAACCCCCCTTAGCGTTATTATCGCTCAAAGAAAAGTTGCCAAATTTCAAAACGCTTCAATATGTAAATTCATGAATATCTTGGAAAATTTTGATAATAATATTTAATATAATTTGATAGCTTATAATACAAAATTTTTTTCGAATAATTTGCAAAAAAAAATATTTTAAAATACAAATTTTAAAAATAAATTATAAAAAATGTGCGAATTATATTTGGATTAGGCTTAAATTTCGAATTCTGGAAAAAGGAATCAATTAAGTTTAATAAAAAAAATAGATATTACTAAATATATATCAGATTCAATTAACATTGAGGACTTACATTTTTTAGAGCTATTTTTTTAAAAACGACTCGTGCAAGTTTTACAAAATTTGGCAGTTTGGTATAATTTGAATCGTAGAATCGAAATATGGGAAAAATTTGGTATGTCATTTCGAAAAAAGTCCAATTTTGCGTCAAAATAGCTATATTAGAACAACATTATATACACTGAAGTGACAAAAGTCATTTGGATAGCAATATGCAAATATACAGATGGCAGTAGTATCGCGTAGAAAATGTATAAATGCGAAGTGCTTTGGCAGGGCTTTCATTTGTGTTCAAGTTATTCATGTGAAGAGGCTTTGACGTGATTATGGCCGCACGACGAGAATTAACAGACTTTGAACGCGGAATGGTAGTTGGAGCTAGACGCATGGGTCATTCCATTTCGGATATCGTTAGGGAATTCAACATTCCGAGATACACAATGTCAAGAGTGTGCCGAGTGTATCTAATTTCAGGCATAACATCCCACCATGGACAGCGCAGTGGCCGACCACTTGCACTTAATGACCGAGACCAGCGACGTCTGCGTAGAGTTGTCAATGTTCACAGACAATCAACACTGCGTCAAATAACCGCAGAAATCAATGTGGGACGTACGAGGGACGTGTCCGATAGGACAGTGCGGCGAAATTTGTCTTCCTTGGGCTATGCCAGCAGAAGACCGACTCGAGTGCCTTTACTGACAGCACGACATCGCCTGCAGCGACTCTCGTGGGCTCGTGAGCATATCGGTTGGTCCCTAAACGAATGGAAATCCGTGGCTTGGTCAGATGAGTCACGATTTCAGTTGGAAAGAGTTGATGGTAGGGTTCGAGTGTGGCGCAGACCCTACGAAGCCATGGACCCAAGTTATCTACAAGGCACAGTTCGAGCTGGTGGTGGTTCCATAATGGTCTGGGCTGTTTTTACATGGCATGGACTCGGTCCTCTGGTGCAACTGAACCGATCATTGACTGGAAATGGATACCTTCAGCTACTTGGAGATCACTTACAGCCATTCATGTACTTCACGTACTCAAACAACGAAGGGATTTGCATGGATGACAATGCGCCATGTCACCGGGCCACAATTGTTCGCGATTGGTTAGAAGAACATTCTGGACAATTCCAGCGAATGATCTGGCCACCTAGATCGCCCGACATGAATCCCATCGAACATTTATGGGACATCATCAAGAGGTCAGTTCGTGCCCAAAACCCTGCACCGTCAACACTTTCATAATTATGGACGTCTATAGAGGCAGCTGGCTCAATATTTCTGCAGGGGACTTCCAACGACTTGTTGAGTCCATGCCACGTCGAGTTGCTGCACTTCGCTGGGCAAAAAAAGAACCGACAAAATATTAGGAGGTATCCCATGACTTTTGTCACTTCAGTGTATAAATTTAATGCATACCCTAAGTCGCGCTTTCGAGACATGTAAAACTCAAGTTGAATTTCGTCAACTGGCCTAGTAGAACGGGAGATACAGAAGTGTTGCCCCTTTCCCCCCTCCCCGCCGGAGTGTATAATCACATTTCCAAGCTTCCATACTGCAAAAGCGTAATGAATTATAAAAATGCAAAATATTCTTCATTTATTTAATGTACAAGATTCTTCATATTAAGTCCTCAACTTATTGGTTTATCACGTGCCACTTATAATGACCAGAAATCAGACTATTAGAAAAAACAAACGATGTCAACTGTGGATTATTTCTTTTATTCGTCTAATTTATTTTAAAACCTTCAGATTAATATAAAATTGAAGAAAATTAAAAGAGAAAAAACCTCTTATGTACTTTTGCAAATTTATTGCTTAGAATGGCAACATTTTCTTCTTAATTGTCTTCTATTGCTCGGTTTCACGCTGTGCGGTGAAATTCATCTGCAAATCAACGCCATTTATATTCAACCGGGAATTTTATATGCAATTTTCAAATCTAGGTACAAGAAAATAACCGACTTCCTGCATTCCCCGTTGCGGAAAAGAAACATTTTTCTAAAATATATTAAGAAATGTACAAGAAAAATGCTTTATCGCATCTTCCATCAACTACCGCATATCGAAATAAAATACGCTACCTGAATATAATAATGCTGAGTAAAACGAAACACTTCACATCTGCTATCTTTTGAAACAATCTCTGAGCAAAAACAAACAGAAATACAAAAAAAAAAAAAAAAAAAAAGTAAGCAAATAAATAAATATTGCTTAAAGGTTGTACGAATCTTAGACCTTATTACATTCGAAACAGGTACACGCCATTTTGTTTTATCGCAGAAATGGATCTAACCTATCGGGTTATTTATTAGCTGTGCCACTGGCTTTTAGGGTTAACGGAGATAAGGAACCAGATTTTGTATCGACATTAAGTGTTAGATTAAATCAGTGAAGTTTCAAGAGGCAAAATGGCCCTCAGATGCCAAGGAAAATGCTTCTCTGGAAATAAAATACCGTTCGTCGTTTTTTAAGCCGCGCAAGATAAGGAAATTTCGTGACGATTATATATAAATAACGTTGTTACAGAGAAGTGCCGATAAGATTTTTGTTTTGAAATAGTTTGCTTTCGAAATGAGTCTCAGGTTTTTACTTGAATTTTAAACGCGAATAACACCGAAACGTTAGCATAAATTAAATTTATTTTTGAGCATTCTATTCTGTTCTATTCTGTTTGTACGTGTAATTAGATTATTTTATACAGCGTTTCAGAATATAGCTTTCGAAAAACTTATAACCGCAACAGTTTGTTACACACGAGAAAGGAAATGTTAAGGACAACTTTATAAAGCTTGTAGAGACTTTAGGTATTTTGGAAGCAGGCAAGATGAAAAATTAGCCTTCGCCGGGAATCGAACCGCGGACCTCTGGAATACAGGCCTAGCGTTTGAACCACTACACCACGAAGGCACACTAGGAAAGCGGGAGACCATGCTTTTCACATCTTTTATTAATAATTGAATAAGCGTATTTCTCTTCGGACAGCTCAAAAATATAGCTTCCGATTTATTATTTTTTTTTCAGCAACATTTTTAAAGAAAAGAATATTTTTAATGCTGCAAACGATAATTAAACCTTATTCCATTTGGATGCCAGTCTTTGCATTTTTAAATTAATATTTAAATTCATGGAGAAAATCAAAATGATTACAAAAATGTGTGACCACACTCTGTAATGCATAGTTATTTGCATCAA